GGCCCCCACCAGACCGTGAGTCCCTTGCGCACGCACCCCTGACTCGCCTAATTGCATTCATACCCTTAAGACTCCCCCACTTTCCCCAAAAATCCTTGGCACRCCCCTTTTCGCACTTCCAGGCCCACATTCCACTCCGATCAGGAAGTCGCGCCGGGCGTGAGGTTGGTATCGGAGCTCGACACGTGGCTAGGGTCTTAGGATTGATAGCATGTTAATTAGGCGACCTGGCTAACCGTGGGCGACCTCGCCCTCGGAACGCGTATAGACGCGACCCTATCATCACCAGAAGCAGAGCGGCTAAGCGACGAACAACCAATATGGCTGCCAACGTGCAAATTCCGGCTCCGCAACAAAATGCTAATCTACCTAATCAACCTTTCCCAGGTGCACGAGCTCCCATGTCGCCACCAGATCTCTATCTACTCAATCCGGCACACCATCTCGCAGGAGCATGGCTGGCCACGCTTAGAGCACAGCAGTACGATGATCACGAAGCACAGATCAACATTCCGGCTCGAATGGGAGGAGACGCTCATTATTGGTATAGTACCTATGTATGAGTGGATCTCCCGACCTTCGAACGGGATTTCATGAACCGATTTGATTATATTCACCCTGAGCAGGCATTGTACATGATCAAGGACCGAGTGCAAAAACCGCTCGAATCCGTTGCGGAATATCGAAATCGGTTCTACAGAATGTTCATGAAAACTGAGCGAGGTGAGCAAGTAGGGAGGGATCTGTTCATTGACGGACTCCGCAGTCGAACAATACGGACTAAGTTGCGAAAGCAGTTTTCTCCCATCACTCATACGCTACAACAAATTATGGCTGCCGCAGAAGAAATGGAACGGAAGTTCGCAGCAAACTTCCTGGAAGGAGAAGACTACCCTAGAGACGGAGATTTGACCGAGCTCGTACGGGCAAGAGCAGAACTGGCTGCTTTACAGAACAAATTTGAAAACATGGGATTTGTATCAGGACCTGTCGCCTACATGGAACAGATAGGCCCCAAACGAGTAATTCTAAGCGAGACTCCGAGCATCTCTGCTCCTATGATGCCCCCGCCCGTCAGGGCATTACCCCCGCTAGATCAGTATGTGTCGCTGGGATATCCTGGACTAGGAATGATCGGAACAATCAGACCAGCACCAGAACCAAAAGAAGTGGCGGAGTGGTGACCGTCCTTAGGAGAAATGGAGTCGGGAGGACCCACCTTAGTCACATGAGAAATCGATGTATTAAACATTATCCGAGCTTTTGACCATTGGATTCCACTACCGATCGGTCATCTACTCTCGATCTCTGAGCAAGCCAATGAGCGAATGCTACAGCATTGCAAAGCAAACCGAAAGCGGTTTGCCCTCGCCCGAGCACCAAGTGCCAAAGCCAAGGGCCCCGCGCCGGAAGAAAACGCAACAAGCACTTCGGACCCCATACGGATGGGATTAATTCAGAAAGACGATCACTTCTTACGGGTTAAACCGATTCCGTGGAAGTCCGCGGAATGTGATATTGAAATTTGGGGAGTTCCTTACAACACGATAATAGATTCAAGAGCCGCTGTGTTGGCTAACTCACTAAGAGTGGTCGAAAGGGCCGGTAGGAAAAACGACCTGATCATGCTCACCGAGAAAGATCAGCTTGTTTCAACAGATGAGGAAAAGATTAAAACTGTGGGGAGAATGACCAATGTCATTTTCCGATTGGGTAAAGTACACGCGCTTGGGGATGTCGTAGTACTAGATGTTAATACGTACGACGTTCTTTTCGGACTTCCCGGTCTTGCGGCGTTACGAGCAAACCTGGATTTCGAACGATGATCGATCGTCCTCTGAAATACAGGAGGAAAACCCTACACGGTGCCCATGCGATTGACCCTTCGCACTACTATTAACGTGGTCCCGCGGGTCTCGCCGATGATGGCAGGGTCTCTCCGCATGATCTCCTGGGACGGACCCACAAAAGGAAAATCATCTGATGATGCGGAAAGCAGTGACGAAGATGATCCGGAGATCTTGAAATTAGTACGACAACGCGTTTACTACCTGCCACCTAAGACGATAGCGAGAACGATGCAACTGACCAGCCGAAAAATTCAAAGGACCAAGGCAATGATCTTGGGAAATCCCCTCGTGCAGATTTCGAGGATGGTCGACTCTTTGGAACCCCCTCAAACTCTGTACGAAGGGATCACCCCTCTCCTCGCCAGGTATAGAGATAAAAAGCATTATTGCGACATTACGGAACTACCTAGGTCCTTGCTAACATCGGCTAAAGAAGTGAGGTTGTTACGCTTGGGGGCGGAAGCAAGCTCTCTGGAACCCCCTGGGTGTTTTGAAGCAGAAACAGACTGGCTGGGAATAAAGATTGCAACCAAGGAAGTGCCATGGCAGGATGTTTGCGACGGGATTACCTCGGAAGGACACGTGGCAATATGGGAAGAAGATGCTCAGATGATGGCCACGGTGTTCTCCTGGTGATCGGATCATTCATTCATCTTGGCGCCTCCACCCGACTTGGCAAAACAGGCGCACACAAAACATATCGACGTTCAGATCTGACAGGATGTTTGCGACGGGATTACCCCGGAAGGACACGTGGCAATATGGGAAGAAGATGCTCAGATGATGGCCACGGTGTTCTCCTGGCGATCGGATCATTCATTCATCTCGGCGCCTCCACCCGACTTGGCAAAACAGGCGCACACGAAACATATCGACGTTCAGATCTGGGACCAACTTTTCGAACTATGGGTTCCACAGTATGTGCCGGATGAAATCCACCGGGTCATTACAGATATTCTAACAAAATATCGAGAAGCGATTAGCGTGTCAGATACTGACATTGGGTTGTCGTTAGTAATCCAACATGAAATTCAGACAGGAAATCACTCCCCGATTTATTGCAAACCCTATCGCTATTCCCTGATTGAACGCAAAAAGGTTCTCGAACGAATTCGGGAATTCGAAGCCAGTGGTTGGATCGAACCTGCCACCGGACCTTGGTCTTTTCCCGTAGTGTTAGTACCGAAGAAAAATGGAGCGATTCGCATTTGTATTGATTATCGCAAGTTGAATGAAATCACGATTAAAGATGTGTATCCCCTCCCCCGGATTGATGATCTGTTGGATGCGATTCGATGCGCTAATTATTTCAGCAAGTTTGATATTCGGCATGGCTTCCATCATATTCTGGTGAGGGAAGAAGATCGGCCAAAAACGGCCTTCGTGTTGTTTGAGGGCACGTGGCAGTGGGTTCGGTGTCCGATGGGGATTTGCAATGCGCCTGCCACGTTTCAGCGAGCGATGAACATGACGTTCCAGAACTTCGTCAACAAGACACGGCTGATGCAGGGGATGATTAACTTCTGCGTGATCGTGTACATGGACGACATCCTGGTCTATTCGAAGACCTATCACGGGCACGCACAACACATCGCATGGACATTGAGTGCATTGAGAGACGTTGGGTTCAAGATTGCGCTTGAGAAGAGTGAATTTTTCCTGTCGGAAATTTCGTTCCTGGGCTATGTCGTGACACGTGGAGGATTGCAGCCAGACTCGAGAAAAGTTGCGGCAGTGAGGGAAGCTCCGGTTCCCACGTCTCTGACGCAGGTTCGAGCCTTCTTGGGGCTGGCGTCGTACTATCGACGCTTCATCAAGGGTTTTGCCGCGATTGCACGACCACTAACGAATCTGTTACGGAAAGACCAGCCTCTCAGCTGGGACGCGGAGTGCCAGCAGGCCTTTGCAACCCTCAAGGACGCTCTGGCAACGGCCCCTATTTTGATCCGGCCGGACCCCTCGAAGCAGTTCATCCCCATCACGGACTGGCAACCGGAAGCTATTTCCGCTATTTTAGCCAAGAAGGGGAACGATGGTCGAGAACACGTCATCGAGTACGCGTCACGAACCGTACCGGACGAATGAAGAAACGACTCCGCACCTCAGGGTGAGTGCTATGCAGTAGTTTGGGGAATCCAACACTTCCATCCGTATCTCTACGGACAGAAGTTCCGCCTCGTAACGGATCACGAGCCTCTGCTGGCGCTGAAGAAACTCACCAACTACACGGGCATGATTGGCCGTTGGGCGGTGCGATTGCAAGAATACGACTTCGACATCGTCCATCGAAGGACAGAGCGACACGGCAAGGCGGACGGGCTGACATGTCTACATCGGCCTGCCAAGGTACCAAAGGGCGAGGAAATTACACTGTAGAAGGAGCCGCGGAACGCATCCCGCCGTCGCAGCGACAACATTTGGATCCCCGGGCGATTCGTGACCCTGCCTTCTTCAGGCAGCCTACGGCGGAGCAGCTTGCGGTCATCCAAGAGGAGGAAGAGGAGGATGAGAGTGATGACGGGGAAGACGAGCGGGAAGAAAGTAAGGAAGGCGACGAAGTACTCGAGGAAGAAGACGAAACCCCCGAAGAAGGAAGCTATAGCGAGCATAGCGAGGGGGAGCAGAGCGAAGAAGAGGAAGAAGATGAAGAAGGAGAAGAAGTGCACGAAGAAGAATCTGTTGGACCAGAGTGGGAAGTCGTGCCGGAAGAAGCGCTGCGCACAGGTACAAAGGCAGAAGATCCCGAGGCGGCCCGTAAAAGGGAAGAGATCACGGCCGGGAAGACGGAGTTATAACTCGCAGGCGCGACGAGTCTGCAGATCTGCGACGACCCGAACCGAGATTCGGAGCCACCCCGACCTGAAGATGGCAACCTCGCGGCCACGACTCCGGCCCCATCAGCACAGCGACGAAGCCGATCCCCCCCCTCCCCAACCCGTCCCTCAGTTCGCCGACGTATCGATACGGGCGATCGGCCTTCGTCCCCAATTACTCTCTCGCCGTCCCCTTGACTACCTCACCCTTCGCCAGCTTACCACCCCCGTCACGTTCCCCTCCAATCCGTTCCCCCGCAGTACCTTCCGCCACTTCTACGCCGCTCGCCTCGCTGTCGTAGTGCATCCCCATCCCTCCCTCCGGTGCGCCGTCCCGGCCTTTTGCCTTCATGTCTTGCTTTTCAGTGCCGTGTGGCGAGGCCACAATATGATTGAGATTTATTGCGTAATAACAGGGACCATCCCCGCATGCGAAGATCGCGATCGTTTCCGTGCGGCGCTCTTCCGAACCTTTACCACCCTCTACCCCGACTATCTCGCGTCCCTCCCTCGCACTGGCAATCAATTTCCCCGTCTCCACCGCATTGTCCGTTACCAAGAACTCCCGGAGACTGCAGCCGGGATGGAAAGGTTCCTGCCCCCGCTACCCCTAAGCCCTCCGCCCTGCCATGCCGCCATGTACCAACTTCCTTTCCCCCTCCCGGTTAATTACTGATGGAGCAGGTAATAGACTCGTGTCGCGGCGGAGGCACGAGAAAGATCACGTCCTTGAATTGTCGAGAGCCCAATCTGAGGAGATAGTAGAAGAGCCAAGCTACCACGTTGGATGACGTCCACATGCGATCAAATGGTAAGTGGCATAAAGAGAAGTGCTCCGCGTGTCGATCGATTAGAGAAATCGACATGTGTCAACAAGCAAGCAAGAGCTTGCTAATATTGGAACACCCTGGGCGTCACATATGTGACGAACCACTTTCTATAACGCGCGAGTTTCTGCGCGGTTGCAACGAGGGGTCCTAAGCTGGGAAGAGTGGGCCACTTACGGGAAATCGGGATCGGTGGAAAATTGCATCAGTACCCTTGCTTCTTCGTCTTTTTCGTCGCTTCTTCGGGGCTGGGTGTGTCCGGGGACGGCCGGCTGGGCGATTGGTTGGATGGATGTCTGGCGCGCCACCACGTGCGCGATTAATAAATGTTGACGTCGTTTTTTTCGTTTCGGGTTCGATCTTTTGGGCGCGGACATCGCGCGGGAAATTGTTTCGTTCTTTTTGAATTTCCTTTTGAATCTTTTTCGAATTTTGTCGAGCCCCGATGGCTCTCAGGATTTTGGACTTTCTTTTCTGAAATGTATGCTTTTCCGCACTAGATAGGAATTTAGGAATTCAGTAATTAGGACTTTCTCTGCCGCGCTGCACCTTTTGTCTACTCGCTTTTTCATGCGGCTGCAACGGTACTCTGATTAGTGGGCGCCCTTAATCGTGTGTGTGACTGCAATTTTGGGCGGGCGCCATTGTAACTGTATGTTTCCTCTTGCACTTCGTCTCTCCCACCCTCCCTCTCTTTCTTTTGCTGAAGTTTTGTAAGTCGCGGCTTGCATGCTCAGATCGATGCGCGGAGAAGGGTTTCGTCCCCCACGCCGCGGGCGATCATGTAGAACGCAGGCGTTCCCTTTCCAATCCTCACTCTTAGTCCTGGTAATTCCGCGTTCTTCACGCATGCATGCACGCTATAAATTTCGGCTGCGCGATTAGTCAGCTCTCTTGACCTGTTGTTGGAAGCTCGGGGTTGCGCGATCAGGAAGGGTCGGCACACGAGCAAAGTAAGAGGTGAGTAGAGTAGGAGTTGGGCGTACCGACGAGCTGGTGCCGAATGCGCAGGACTGACGTGGGCCACGACAGACTATGGGCACGGGCGAATCCGACGGGTGCGGGAGGACTAAGCGGGGTGACAACTTCGTGGGTGGGTGCGTGACGACGGACTGTCCGCATCGAAGAGAGAGGGAGAAGAAGAGAGAGTTGAGGTCGATGGACGTGGGTTTGTTGTTTCTTTGTCTCTTCCCCCTCTTCGTCTGTGTACATACATTTTGATTACGGCTCCAGGCGGTTTGCCCGTTCTTATTTTCATTTTCGGCTTTCGGGAACCGAGACTTGGGTTTTTGCTCACACTTGTCCCTGCTTTTGTCAATCTCGATTGTGCGATGTGTATGATTGYTGAATGTATGGATGTAGGAATGTTATGCTTGCGCATCTACATCACTGCTGAGAATCCCGGTCCTTACCTTTGTTTGTGTCGAACCTTTGCTCACACCTGATACAGCTATAAATGGATAAGGATCTGGCACCGATAGCGATTTTGTCCTCGTTCTTGTTTATCTCCCGATGGGGGG